CTGAAGAACAAAAGGACAGCAACTTGTCTGTTCCCCTTCCCCAATTCCCCAGCACTGTTCCCATCCCCCCAATTCCCCAATAAAAATCTTTAAAAAATATATGTGTATGTGTATTACACATATATAAACATACATATGTCATATATATAATTATCTATTATCTATCTATCTATCTATCTATCTATCTATCTATCTATCTATCTATCATCTATCTCCAAAGTTTCAAGGTCTCCCAAACATCACAGGACCCTTAGTCTGAGGCAGTGCTAATAACTGGCTACCTGGGCTAGCATCGGGCCATGTGAGGAAGTGGGGAATTGGGCTATTCCTTGGTCCCCAGGGTCCCCAACCCCATTCTTTGCAATGCCCAATAAGTTTCTATCAAAGCTTATCTGTCTGATGCGCTTTTCCTCCAGGATCCAGGAGGGTCCCAGGAAATCTGAGGAAACACTTCCAGCTGGAGGGCTCATGGCAATAATCTATTACAGTGTTCTCTTCCCTTCCTGGGTCCTATTGCTTTAAAACCTAAACCGTAAAAATAGCTGGTGCTCGTGGGTCCCTGCAGTGTGTCCTGGTCACTTCCATGCACTGCACCATTTGACCTTGAATCCCTGGGCAGGGGAGGAGTAAGACTCTTCCCAGTGACCAGATGGGGAGACGGAGGCCCAGACTCTAAGTGGCAGAGTGGGTGAGACTAAGCCAGCCTGCCCTTCTTTTCATCAGACCCTCTGACGATGAATATTTGGGCAGTGGCCAGGGGTTAGTTACTCTGGAAGTGTCTGCTCTGGCTAAGGGGTGGGCCAGCCTTGGGGGGAGGGAGAGTGAAATCCAGACCACTTCCCCTGACTCCCCAGAGGGGTCTAGGTCCAAGCCCCAGGGTGGGCCTTCTCAGTGGGGCAGTGCTGGCAGGCCTCTGGCTGCTGGCGTCCAGGGCCTCCCAGCTGCTGGGAGTTTAAACCTTTTGTCCAGGCTCTAAAGATTCTAAAAAAGCCCCTCCCAGCATCACTAATCCCAGGCTTTGATGCTGGTTACAAACTCATGGCTTCCCTCAGGCGCCGGGACCTTAGGCTTCTGAGCTTGGGCCAGGGTTGCTGGATGTTACAGGGCGGATCTGCTTAGGGCTGCAAGCCTTAGCTGACCCCACAATGCAGGCTCTTCTCCCCACTGGCTGGACGGGAAGCTGAGGCCCAAAGAGTGGGGGTGTGACTGGCCTAAGGTCACCCAGGTAGAGGGTGGCGGCCAGGGATTTAAACCTGTCCAAAGCTGGCTCAGCCTCCCCTTACCACGCCCTGGGACACTCTGTGCCACTTGTATGGTGGGGGTGGGGGGAGGACCAAAACTCCCTCCATACTGGAGGCGCCCTGAGTACCAGCGAAGAAAAGCATCAATGAATGTCAAGTTGCCATTTTATTTCTTTGGTCCCCAAGCTATTGACTGTCCAGGTCCATGGGCGACCTTCACCTCAGCCTCCCAAGTGGAGGGCACTTCTCTTGCCTTCTGGCCCTACAGGGGACTGGCCCTTGTCTCAGGCCCCGGGGTGGCTCTAGCACTGCTAGCCCCCTCCCACACCCCTCCTGGCCCATCTCAATGTCCTCCTGCTGCAGCCAGACCAATCCGTAGGGTTTGGCTACATGCAGGTCTGGACACAGCATTCCAGGCCCCTGACCCAGTTTCTGCCCAGGGCTCAGCGAATGCCAGGCTCTGACATCTGTGCCAACAGCCTGGGGTAGGGGTGAGGAGCGGCGGGGCTTGCCAAGGTCTGAGCTTCCAGCAGCACTGCCCCTGAGTCTCTGGAGCCCAAGTGCAGCCTTGTCGAGCCCTATTCTGGGCACCAGGAGAACATGCCCCTCACCTTGGCTCCTGGGTACAGAGGATTCCAGAAGCTCTAGCTCCAGGCTGCAGAGTGGGAAAGGGGTGCCCTCCCAAGCCCCTTTCTCACCCGGGCCCAAGTGCGGAGCTGACTGCAAATCCTTTCATAGAGATCACACCAAAATCAGCTAGAATCTTTCTCTTTTCTGTTTTTCCCCTCCTTTTTTCTACCTTTATTTAAATCTTTTCTCTCTCTGCTTTCTTTATCTTTCCTCTTTTTCCCACTTCTCTCTTATGTGTCTTTTTATTTAGAGAATTCAGGTAGTTTAGGAATCACTTTACTTTTATATCATCATGACCTCTCCCACAGATTTCCCTCGATCGCAAAGCTCCAAACAACTTCATTTATATTTCTGGGCATTAATTAGTCCAAAAGGAGGTGCTAAGGATGAAAAGTAAAAATACAAACCAGTCCTGTGACAGCCACCTCCTCCAGGCAGCCTGACCCTCTGCAGCTCAGAAATGGAAGGGCACTGGGCGGGTCCAGGGATATTTTTGTGTCTCCTTCGGGAAGGTTCTCTTGGATCTAACCTGTCCATGATATACAGGCATCTCATGATGCCCTGACTGTGCCAGGGACAGGTCTGTTTATTGCTGTGTTGGTCCCCTGGGAGGCTGCCTGAGAACATGGTTTTGAATGTGGCACCAGAGGCCAACAGGCCAAATGGCCAGGATTTGAGTGCCAGCTTCAGTATCTCCTAGCTGCCGCCTGGCTTTTAGGAAAGACTCTTAACCTCTCAGATGCTCAGTTTCCCTATCTGGAAAATGGGAGAAACAATCACCTCTAACTCATGATGTCCTCAAGAGAGTCAATGAGAGAAATTGCCACAAGCGCTGGGCTCAGTGCCTGGCTCATAGTAAGTGCTCAGTGAATGCTCATGGATGCTGATTGCGTTATGATCCATTGTAAGGTCACCAGGGGTGGATTATATAGGACCCCTCCCCCATGAGGTACTCACGGCCTGGCCAATTGGTGTGAGAATGGATGATGTAAATTAGAATGGTGCCAGGTGCAGGCCGCTGCCAGCTCCTTCAGGAGGCTGTGCTGTAAACAGGACTGCCACCAGCTGTCGGGGCCCATCCAACTGTTTGGAAGTGACTGGAGCATCTGCCACTGGCTGCCTCCCTGTGCTCTGCCCCAGGCCTCTGATGGCAGAGGTCAGGGCTGTGTGTGGCTGGTGTGCTGGCCCCACCTGGGGGCAGAGCCACCTGGGCCCCTGTGAGCTCCCTCGAGCCCCTGCCTCATGCACAGGCTTTCCCTTCAGTGAGGCTACTCTTTTGTGCGTGTGTGCACGCGTGCGTGCGTGCGTGCGTGCGTGTGTGTGTGTGTGTGTGTGTGTGTGTGTGTGTGGCAGGGGCGGGTGGTTGGCCCCTACTCAGCCTCAGGTCTCCATCATTTATTTACCTGTCTTCCTAAGAGTCCCTGCCTCCTTACCTCCTCATACTAGTCCATCCCCCTGGCTTCCTGAGGAGCTGCCTGAAGTCAGATCCCGCCTTCACCCCCCAACCCCCATGCTCTGCTCAAAAACAATCAGAATATGCCCCGTCCTCCTGCCTGACCTGGTGAGAGCTGTATTTGCCTCTGGCTCCCCTCCCAGCTTTACCCCCACGTCTCACCGTCATAGTCCTTTGCCGTAGCCACACTGCACTTTCCACCAACACCCAGACCCACCTTGACCTACCTGCCTTTGCCAAGCTGTTCTTCTACCTGAAGGTCCCTGTCCCCACCACTCTGCCTGAGGACATCCCATCCGTGCTTTCAAAGGCCATCTCCTCCTTGAATTTGTGTTCATGCTTACACACACACACACACACACACACACACACACACACACACACACACACACGGTGTTCTTGCATCTCTGCATTCCCACGTAACATTTCACATTCTTTACACTGAGCTACAGTTTTTGTTTCCAGACTCTATTTCCTCTCCCAAACCCCAAGCCGTTGCAGGTATAGCCCATGGCACCTTGGTTGCTATCACCCCCACAATACTGGGCACATGGAGGCACTCCACAAATGTCACATGAAATGGACGCCCCCGTGCATGAAAATATCTATTCAGCCAACCTACAAGCATTTCTGAAAGCCATTTGTCTGACACATACCGCCCGAGGCCTACGAACCAACAATAGCATCTTTGATAACTGCTTTTGCATTTCCATTTTTAGAAGTGCACAGCAGAGTGATATTCTGAGCAAGAGCCCTCCAGAAGAATGGGTGATACACGTGAACGGCTGATTCTCTGTCCCCCCAAATCCGAAATGAAAGTCACCAGCATGCTTTATAATTCAAGAGCATAGGAGAGAGACAGAGACACGAGAAAGTAGTTGGACTAGAAGAGGCTCTGAATAAGCACCACGGTGGTAAGTGCCAGCCAGCCAAACACCCTCTCGCGAGGTCTGTATAAGAAAGTTGAAAGCGTGCATTACCTGTTAGGCTCTGAAACAAGGGGACCGTTCAGGGGTAATAAAAAGGATCTGCTTGCGAGGGTCTTAATTCAGCACATGCTCCCAGGGCGTTCCTTCTGCCCCGGCCCTGTGCTTCTGGCTGCTCTGCCTGGCAGCTCTGAGACACTCTCCTTTGAAGCAGGGAGTTTATTTCGGGCCCACCGCATGACCAATGATAGCATGCCAAACTATAAGATGTTATGAATCTCAGATTTCCTGTTTGAAGATGGCACGGCAGAAGCCGTGGTCCTGCCTTCAGCCCCTCCAGGGTGCATCAGTTACAGACTTCACTTCAGAGAGCATCTCAAAGCAGTGGCCCTCCCGGGACGTCATCACTTGAGATCCTTGACATGGAGGCCATATATGGGTATGTTTCTGGAACTACCCGGGAGGGAGGAGAAGGCAGAGAGATGCAACGGGTAAGAGACAGAGGCAGGGAAAGAACAGAGAGGCAGAACTGGGAGATAAAGAGACAAGAGCAAGGGAGAAAGACAGTGTGCGCTAGATGAGAAGAGGAAAGAGAATGAAGGAAAAAGGAAAAATGGAAAGGGATGTTGGAGAGAAAGAAGGGAAAGGAAGAGAATGGTAAGAAGAGAGCAGGAAGATAAGGATAAATGTAGAGAAGAAAGGAAGAAAAGAAAACGGGGGAAAACGGGGAAGACAAAAGGAGAGAGAAATTGTAATCATCTAAGAGATGAAAATGGAGTAAAAGAGAGAGGAATAGGAAAGGGAGACAGCATAGACTGGAGAAAGGAGAGAGAGAGAGAGAGAGAGAGAGAGAGAGAGAGAGAGAGAGGAGAAAATGGGAGAGGAAAGAGGGAGGGAAAGAGAGAAAAAGAACGGAGACAGGGAGGGTGGGAGAGAGAGAAAAAAGGGAGATTGAGAGCTATCTATAGAGAAAGGGGGGAAAGGAAGGGAGGCAGGAAGAAAGAAGGACTGAATGAGAGAGAAGGAATGAGACAGGGAGAGAGGGATGAAGGTATTCAGTGTAAATGACCTTTGCAGAAATCGCTGGGCATGTAGCAGGTTGCAGAGCCTGACATTTGGAGGTACCAGGCATCCAGCTGCTGGAGGCTGTGGTATGAGGCTGGAGCCACAGAGGAGAGGGGCGCGCGCGCGTGCACACACGCACACATGCACACATGCACTCACGCACACACACACATGCACACATGCACTCACGCACGCACACACATGCACACTTGCACTTGCACACACGCACACACACGCGAACACACACATGTGGGCAAGCCCTGGGCAGAGGCACATAGTGGGAGGGAGCCCTTCCTCCAGGGCTAGGGAAGAATATCGCCTGTTTCTGCGATAGATTCAATGGCACAGAATGTCAGTATCAGGTGGCAAAGCCAACACATACAGCCACATGCATCGAGCACCCAGGAATGTGTGTTGAGTGTTCTAGAAGCTTAACCACCCTCATATGCATCCAGACCTGAGGCCAGAGTCGGCGGCCTGGAAACATACCCTTGGTCGTTTCCTCCTCCGCGGAAAATAATTTCAGTTTCAAAGACCCATGCCCCTCGGAGGATATTGGATTTATGACACGATATTGGATGTATGATTTCTTATCAACTCCAACTCAGGAGAATTCAGGATGCCTTTAGATGCACATGGAATATTCCAGCTGAAAATAAATCTTAGTGAATACAGGGGTCCCTGGTGTTAGGCCAAGGTTCTGGAGGTTTTATCTGGTCCTGAGGACAGGAGGACGTGATAGGTCCCGGGCTGTGTCCCAACTGTTTTGGCACCTGTTGAATCATGTATCGACCCTGCTGGGACCGTTCCCCCAGGCTACTGGGGCTGGGCTGCCCTGGAGGTTAGCTTACACTCAGCCCCTCCCAGACCACATGCCATGGTGGGGGTGCAAGAGAAGGGTGGAGAGGGGCTGTCCTCTTTACTGTTTGGGATTGTCCCCAGCAGTAAGAAGCCCTAGTGGGCTCCGTGGAGTGATCCCAGGGGTCAAGCTGCTTCCATGGGCTCCCTTGTGAAGATAGGGCACAGACCCCTCTGCTCTCTATCACAGACCCCTTCCCAGGTGTGGCCTTCTTAGGTATGGTCCTCTGCCTTGCCTCTCCCTCCCAGTCCAGACAAGCCTCTTAAAGTTGAGGGAGCTGGGGAAACTTGTTCTCCAAATCCTGTTGCCTTATGCTTGTAGTCCACTTTTGCAAATCAAGAACCCAAATTGTGGGTGAAGAGTCACAGGGAACAGGAGGTGCATTGGGGTGGACAGCAGGGGAGCAGGCTGGCCACGGTCCCTCTGACTAAAATTGGCGAATCACCCCACTGCATGCACACAACCTTCCCAGCAAGTGCTATCATCTCCCCATTTCACAGATGAGGAAACTGAGGCTCAGAGAGGTTGGGGAGTGTGTCCACAGCCCCCCAATGTAAGTGATGACTTAGATCTGAACAAAGCCAATGCTTTGGCCACAGCTCTGTCCCCCATTACATGGAGGATCCAAATGTTGGGGCAGCACAAGTGGCATTGCTAGGCTACGAATACAAATTGGTGATTAAGTGCTTTCCCCTGGTCCTCAGCTCACCTTGCTTAGGAGGCTTGATGCTGTGGGTCCAGGTGCACAAAGCCTGAGACAAAGACAGCTTGGTCCACCTGCTGCCATCCCAGGTGACTCACCTCCACAATGAACAGGTTCAGCGAACTCAGCAGTTCCCAACCCTAGCTGCACCTTAGAATGCTGTTAAACTTACCTATACCTGCCTCTACCCCAGAGATTCTGATGTACTTCATCTGAGTCAAGGCCCAACCAGCGCTGATTTTTAAAAACTTTTTAGTAAAGTATAATGCACTCCCACCCACAGAAAAGTGCACATATCATAAATGTACAGCTCAGTGGGTTTTCACAAACCGAGCACACCCAGCATCTAAGTCAAACAGAGAATATTACTAGCACCAAGAACCCCCCTTTTGCTCCCTGCCCCCGCTGCTGCACCACCACCAACCACCTCCTGCCAAGGGGGGACCACCTTCCTGACCTCTAGCAGCACAGGTTGTTGTGAACATCCTATGAATGGAATCACACGTGTGTCTTCTTCCATTCCACAGTATGTGTGAAATCTGTCCACATTGTTTCACGTGGTTACGGACTGTTCCTTCTCATTGCTGTGTAGTAGTCCACGATATGAATATGTCCCAATTTCCCCATGCTACTGTTGGTGGACATTTGGCTAGTTCCCGGTTCGGGGCAATTATAAAGAGCGTAGCGATGACCACTCTAATGCACACCTTCTGGTGACTATATGTACCCATGCCTGTTGGGTAGACGTCTGAGACGGGCCTCCCTGGGTCACAGGACAGGCGTAGGTTCAGCTTTGGTTAAACTGCTGAGCAGCTTTCCAGAGTTGTGGTGCCACCTTCCATTCCCGTCAGCCACGTAGAAGCGTTCCAGGTGCTCTACGTCCTCGCCAGCACGTGGCAGGTTCCATCTTTTTTCATTTTATCCATTCTGATGGACATGAGTGGTATCTTGTTTCGGTTGTAATTTGCATGCCCCTAGTGACAAATTACGTTGAGCATTGAGAAGGCCTGGCCTCAGAGACCTCCGGGGCCCTTGGAAGGCCCTAGAGGTGGTCCTGTGGAACAGGCCTCCAACGAAGGTGTTTATGGGGACAGACAGGGTTACATGAGGGACACAGACAGAGGCAGAAACCAAACAACTGGTCAACCTTCAGGGGGGCAAGAAGAAGGATGTGGCCGCCAAGGGAAAGCCCCCAGGACTCCTATGTGGCCACAGGGCTCTGCTCCCTCGGTCCCAACTAGACCCCTTTACCTATTATGTATTTATTTGTCATGAGTTTAGTGCCTGTCTCTCCCATCTCGACAGTCTTTCTGTTCATTGCTGTGTGTCAGTGCCTACAATGCCTGGCGCATAGTAGGTGCTGATTCAATCACTGTTGAATGGATTGTGCTACGGTCAAGCCACAGCTCCTGGGTCTGAACTGGGGAGGCCTGGGGTGCTATCTGCCAGCCTCAGCTTGGCTCTTGGCCACACACACACACACACACACACACACACACACACACACACACACACATTCTCTCCTCCAGTCTTCCCTCTATGCTTATTTTAACCTGAATTCCCATGAATAAAGCTGTGTGTGTGTGTGTGTGTGTGTGTGTGTGTGTGTGTGTGTGTGTGTGTGGCCAAGAGCCAAGCTGAGGCTGGCAGATAGCTGGGGAGGCAGTTCACTGAGCCCCATACCTAGTAGGGCCCAGAGAGAGAGCCAATACGGGCTTATTTTCCTAATGACAGTGATACCTCTTCCAGTAAGCGGGGTGGGTGGGGTGGCAGGAACTGGCGTGTGGGTCAGTGCCAAGTGCTGGGACTGCTCTGACCCAGTAATGAAATATCACCCATTAAAATAAGCACCCTTGCGGTTTGGGTGTCCTGGGCCCCAGCCCTGGCTGCCTCTTGATATCAGTTTATTTGGGTTTCAAGAGATGAAGAGAGACAAGATACTGATCCTTGCCCTAGGCAGGTTCTGGAGAGGACAGAGGGCAGATGGCGGGGACAGGGAGGGCAGAAAAGGCCCCAAGTCCTTGGAGGGAGGGAGGCACATCTATGCAAAGGGAAGGGGAGGGGCGAGGAGAAGGCAGAGAAAAGTCTTAAACCCTCTTCCTTTCTTTAAACTGGGCCCTGTGCCCTCTAGGGTGTGGTCGACTAAGAGTGCCTTTCCTGTGGGGCATTCAGGACCCTCACCCCCCCTCCCAGCTCAGGGGCCAAGGCAAACTCCAGGGAGAGAAGACAGACAGTGTTTCCATCTACAGGGAGCACAGTGAGGGCGTAACCCTCACCCCTCTGATGGGTGAGAAGACAGATCAGCCTCATGCCCTGTGACACCCCAGATGTGGGGCTGACACCGTACGGTCAGGTGTCACCACCCGGCAGGGCCCCTGGGGACTGACAAAGGGCTGCCTGACCCTGGCCGTGTTCTCTCCAGCATTCCACATGCATGTAAAGGGACAAACAGTGGGATCGCGTGTGGGTTTTCACCAACATTAGCAGATCTGAGGTGCAAACGCCATCGTGCGACACTGGGCTCTTTGCAACCAGCTGGAGCCTTCCTGGGTCATGACTGACCCTCCAGACAAGAGTGAGCAGGATGGAGCAACTGGACAGAAGGAAACGGCAGAGCCTCAGCCAGCCTCACAGCCCCTGCGCTAAATCCCACTCCACCTCTTGCAAATCTCCAACCATCCTGAGTTATCCCTCCTGAGGTGCAGCGTGAGATTATCACAGTCCATCTCCTGGGCTTCCGTCCCTAGGGAAGGAGTGTCTGCAGCAGAAACCCCATGGCCCCAGCGCCATCTGTCCGTGAGCTCTGACTTTC